CATTTCCAATCCACTTGTCCTCCACATCCGATATGCTTGACACGGTTGCCTCCCTGCCGTTGCCACCGTGATGCCAGCTCGCTTTCGATGCACTGCAGCACCGTATCCCATGCAATCTGGAGTGAACCATTACCAAATGCCTTGGAAATAACCGCTCGCGCTTCCTTCTACGCCAATTCTGGCGGATAAAAAACTGCAGCCGATCGGAGGGACCGCAACAAACCCGATGGGGCTCATGCAACGCCCGCTTCCACGCGGGCGTATCTCTCGCTAACAGGGGAAATGCACGGGCGCATGGGTCTTCACACTGGTGCCGTGATTTACTTCTGGCTGCTGCAAGCGCGACTGTAGGTTAACCGTGACCAGTGCATAGTCATAAACCGTGCCCATCGCATTCTTCTAGCAAGTCGGTTCCGTTGGCATGTGCAGCTGGCCCCTGACCTGTCGAATCCATTGTTCTTCCCACACCGTTGGCTCCAGATTCCAATCTCCCAGTGCCATCCAGTCCATCCCGAGCACATTGGGCATGCCGACGTACCTGAGAACTTTCCCGATGCGGTGTCGGTTGTCTGGCCTCAAGCCTTGGCCGTCATGGAGATAAATACTCATGATACTTAGGCCCTTCGCAACGCCCCAGTGGATATGCGCTGCCACGAACCTCGCGGGCGGGATGCTAAGCTGCCCGACAAAGGGGGCGTCGGTAACCATGACGTCGGAGGTGGTGAGCACGCAGACCCCTCCCGACGTGCCGCCATCCTCAGTGGTCAGCGCCTCCGCCCAGATGCCGTGGTACCCAACGTCCAGCGCTTCCCTCCTCAAAGCTTGCAGTCGGTCGCCCACTGCGTGGTGTTCCTGTACGGCAATGATATTGCCAGGCGGCTCCTTATCGAGGTAGCGAACCAGCGTACCAGCACTCGCGACATTGACCGTGGCGACGATTCCTTTGACCTCCACCGCGTGCTCGATATCGCGCGTATCCCATCGCCTCGGTGCGAACGTCGTAGTGGCACCCTGCCTAGACAGGGGTGATGCCTCAGTCGATCCCCCTCCGAGATCCTCAGCTCTCTGCTGCACCTTCGCAGGTTGCAGCGAGCGCCTTCCATGGAAGGGGGCAACATCCGAAGACTTCCCAATGCGCGCCATCGCCGAACCCGCGGTACCCTGCCCCGACAAGGAAGGCACCGGTGTCGCTCCCCCTCCGGGATCCTCGGTCTCAAGCCGCAGGGGATCTCCCTGCTGCGAGAGCCTTCCAAGGATGGGGGCAACATCCGCCATGCTCCCACTGCGTGTCGTGACCGTGCCCGAAGTACCTTGCCCCGAAAAGGAAGGCCCAGTGGACGTTCCCCCTCCGAGATCCTCGGTCTCCGGATGGAGCCTTCCAAGGACGGGGGCAGTATGCGGCTCGCCATCACTTACCCAAAAGGCAGCGCGCGCCAACCCAAACCCATGTTTGATGGCCCATCTTCTTGATTGCCGCATTTCGTGGCCGTAAGTGACGAAGTGGGCGCAAACCTCCCTTGTTCTTTGGAATCACCACCTGACTCCATGAGAAGTGCGCCCCGGTGATCGATGGAACTCGCCATGGCTTGCGTGGCAAGGCAACGCCAACACATTCAGCCTACCATCCACTGCCTAATCATAGGGCGAATACGCGTTGACCCGACGGTGCAATACGTTCGCTGCCTGCCGAAGCTCAGTAGCATCGATGCGCTGCAACTCCTCTTTCGCGATCGGCAGCACATCTGCGAACAGCTGCTGCAGCTCGCCCTCTGGGACGTCTTGCAGGGAAGGTAGCTCGGGTGGTGGTCCTGGCGTTGCACACCCTCGAACCTCGCCAGATCGGGAGCCAACTTCCGCGTCAGGTCCTGCCACTGGCGCTCCGTGAACGCCCCCCGCCACCGATTGTTTGAGCCCCTCCGCCTGCGCAATCTTTTCCAAATGTGCGTCTTGCACCCCGTACTGCCGTAAGATGCTGCCCAGCTGCTCAAACGATACAGCGCCTCCAGGGGTAACCACTTGCGCTCCTCTGTGGCCCTCATCAGCTGGGATCTGGACCACCGTTTGCCTTGCCAATTGCAATCTTTGAGACTCCATTTCCACCATCTGTACACGAAGTTGCTTGAGCTGTTCTTCCTCGTCGTTGAACTCCTTTTGCAAAGACTCCAGTTCCTGCCTTCGCTGCTGAACATGCTCGTCAGCGCGAGTAATCCGCTGAGACAGCTGGTACATCTTGCGATTGACCTCCGCGATTTGCGCTCCGATAGGCTTCTGCGTACGACGCTGCTCTTGTAGCCGCTCTTTGTGTTGGAGGAGTCCTTGTCGTACTGATTGAAGCTCGGGAACCAACTTGACACAAGTTTCTGGCACCCGCTGTAACCTCTCTTCCGTGACACGTAGCTGGTCCTCCAGCGCAACTTCACCAACGCCGTGAGGACCCCCGCTGCCATCATCGTCAGCAGTATCCATGGCATCATCATCGCGGGCGCGCAGGCGCGCTTGCAAGTCGGCCACCTGCTGCTCCAGGCGGCGATAGCGATCCTGCACCCAAGCGTCAGGACGAGAACATGAAGTGGACGGAATTGAGCCTTTGCTTGCTCGAACCGAATGCGATGGCGCATTTCCATTCGTAGTTTTGTTGCCTCCGAACACAACACCCTTGTGCAGCTTACATCCCGCGCAATGGAAGTGACTTCCATAGTTACAAAACCGTTTTCCCTTGTTCGGGCCCCAGGAATATAGGCAATCCTTGCAATACCAATCCTGCCGCACCCGTTCTTGATGGCCACCAGCCCCCCCAGCCATGCCTGAGCCCGCTCGGGCCACGGGGGCCAGGGGAGCAGCGCAACAGGAGACGTTGTGACCTGAGTGTAGAAGGGGAAGAAAGGGGGAACCTGGCGCGCGCCAGGGAAGCGGGCGGGGGCCGTACCTCCCCCACGCCACTAAGGTCAAGTCCTGAGCCAATGGTTACGGATTTGAGCCAAAGTGGCTACGGACTCCTCCTCCTCCTCCTCCTCTTCCTCCTCCTCCTCCTCCTCCTCCTCCTCCTCCTCTTCCTCCCTTTCTTCCCCCTCATCGCTCCTTTCTTCCTCCTTTTCCTCCTCGAAAGAGCGTTTCTTTATGTTCGGCGATGACGGGCGCCATGGGGTGGGCGAGGGGGGGTATGACGTAACGCCTCCCCGCCGTGTGGCTCCGGCACCGCAGCCGCAGCCGCGCCCGCGCGCTCGACGCGACGAGCGACGAGCGACGAGCGACGAGCGACGAGCGACGATGACGACGACGACGACGACGACGACGACGACGACGACGACGACAACGACGACGACGACGACGACGACGCGATCAGCATGTAGGTGGCGATATGCCCCACTGCGCTTGTGCACGCCGCAACGTTCACAAACAACACAGCGCGCGCGTGTATACCACAACGCCTGCGTACACCGCAACAACCGTGTGCAACGCAGCGCCTGTGTACACCACAATGTTTGTGCACACTACAGCGCCAATGTTCACGTGCACACCGCAGCCAGCATGTGCAACACAGCGCTGTACACCATAGTGCTAGCGTGCACCGCAAAGCGCGTGCACGCCACAGCACGTGTCTACACCACAACATCCGCGTGCAACGCAACGCTGGTGTAAACCACAAAGCCTGCGTGCATAGGAGAGGTAGAAGGAGCATGTACGTAAGGACCTGCTGCGGACAACCAGACGCCACGCCAGGAAACTGTTGAGAATCGAATGCAACGTTCTTCCCTTCTCCCTCCTTATCCACCTCCACCAGCTCCTCATCCTCCTCCTCCTCCTCCTTTTCCTCCTCCTCCTCCTCCTCATCATCATCATCATCCTTTTCGCCCTCCTCCACCTTACCCCCCGTCGTGCGGGTTGGCGCTACAGCGCACGTGCGCATCTCAGCGCGCATCGCATAATGGTCTATTGAATCGGCCGACTTAGTTCTCGGACGGCCAGCTTACTGGAGCTTCCTGGACGCAGATGGGGGGAATTGGGGTGACGCGGGCGGACTCGGGAGGACTCGTAGATTCCAGCGGCGTTCCGTTGTCCATAAGGATTATTTTTGTTCTGTCCATTGTTGTCCATAGCGCTCCATTTTGTCATAAGGACTGGTTCTAGCACTTTACATACAACAGTGGTGCTGCAAAGCGCACGGGTGCTGCGGTGCACACAGACGCCGTGGTGCCCACACAGGCGCTGAAATGCACGCAGGCATTGTGGTGTACACTGGTGCTGTGTTGCACACGGCTGATGTGGTGTACGCAAGCGCTGTGGTGTGCACTAGCTGTTGTGCCTGCAGGCACGGTGGCACAAAACTGAAGCTGTGTTGCACGCGGCTGCTGTGGTGTACATAGGCGGCGTGGTGTAATTACACAGGCGCTGTGGTGCACGCGCGCATTGTGGTGCACACAGGCGTCGTGGTGCAAATCGCCACCGACATGCTGGCGCTACCCGTCCTCCGTCATTCCCAAGCATTCCCATACGCCGCCGGCGCGACATGTGACGTCATCGACCCCCTCCATCCCCCCTCCACCCCCCTAGATGATTGCCGTCATCGGCCCGGAATTCAAAACAGGCTTCAGCCGCGGCCGCGCGCACGACGACTATGAGCGACGAGTGACAAGCCACGGGCGACGACGACGACGACGACGACGACGACGACGACAACGACTGCGGACCAGACTCCTATGCGGATTCCTACGGGGACACCCGCGAGGATCCCAGTACGCACGGCGGCACTACCCATAGCAAACTGGGGGGCGGAGCGTCACGTCAAAGGGGGGGGGGCGGGGGCCATGACGCCCGTCATGCCCCAAGCAAGATAGAAGCGGTCTCGTCCTCCTTCTCCTCCTCCTCCTCCTCCTCCTCCTCCTCCTCCTCCTCCTCCTCCTCCTCCTCCTCCTCCTCCTCCTCCTCTTTCTCTTCCTCTTCCTCCGCTCCCGACGGCGGAGAACGAAGGCCGAGGCTCCCGGCTGAGGGCGCGTCGCGGCCTTCTGCACGCAGTGAAACGCGTCCTCTCGGGGCATCGGGGGGGCCGAGGGCGCCAAATGGGGGCCCTTCCCACTGGCAGGGAAGGAGGGGGGATGGGGGGGAGAGGAGAGGGAAGAGATGGTAGGAGGCAGACGGGTTTGAAGAGAGGGGAAGAGAGGGAGGGAAAAGGGGCGGGAAAGTAAAACAGGGGAGGGACGAGAGGGAGGTAGCCGAGAGATGGAAGAGAGTCAGCCGGAGGAGGAAGGGAGGGATGGACATGGATGGAGGATGGGAAGAGGGAGGTAAGGGACGAGGGTAAGGAGGGGGGGAGAACACGAAGAAAGGAGAGGAGAAGGAGGAGAGGAGAGAGGGGGACGGACAGAGAGGGAGGAGGATGAGGCAGGATGAAATCCAGGGCGGGTGTTAGGGCTAGACGGTTACCGAAGGAATCCTGGTGGCCTCCATGTCCACCTCCTCATTCACCCTCATCATGTTTACGTGTCCATCTGCCTCATGTTCATTCTCTGTCCCTCCTTCCTCATTCGATCCCATCCCTACTCATCCTGTTCTTCCCCTCGGCCTCAGAACAAAAGCCGCGAGGTCCTTCTCCCCCACGAGGAGCTCAACCGCCATGTGTGCGGGCCCATCCCTGTCCTCGGCCCTGTGGCAGGACCACCGCAGGAAGAACTCGCCCGCCTCCATGTGCTCCTCAAGCGAACTGAGGAAAAAAGGGGATCGAGGGCCGAGGATCGAGGGCTGAGGATCAAGGGTCGAGGCTCGAGGATCGAGTCGAGCATCGAGGATCGAGTCGAGGATCGAGGATCGAGAGTGGAGGCTCGAGGAGTTAGACGTTCCTGCCCTTTTGTTCGCCTCCGGGATGCCTGCTGCCAGGCCTGAGTCGAAATTCTTGTACAGAACCCAGCCCAGGAAAGGTCCAGGGGCCGCTTTGCAGCTTGGGCGAGGATGATGAGGCGCAGCAGCGGCGAGAGGATGGATATTCGGGTCGGGCGAAAGGGGGGGATAGCAAAGGGGGGGGTTGAGAATCAGCTCACGTAGCTGATTTTCCCGGCGCCTCCCGGCGCCGGAGGCGCTATGTATCGAGGAATGGGCCCCTCGGTGAGGCCGAAATCAGCTGCATGCAGCAAATTTCGTACCCCCCCTTTCCCAATCCCCCCCTTTCGCCCGGCCCGAGATTAGAAAAAGAGAAGGGGTGGGCCGTCGGTCGCCGGCCCCCCAAACAACGCTCACCCCGCGACGGAGGGAAAGAAGCTGAGGACGACGGCACCTCATGCTGCGTCTTCGGGGAACCTCGACTGCCCTCCTGCACCGCTGGTCCGAGTCGGACCCGCGTCGTGTCCATGTCGAGCGCGTCGAATCGCAGCATGCAGGACAGACAAGGACCAGCGCAAGATGCAACGTAAGACACCGACGACCGAAAAACGACGACGAAACTGAACGACCGACCGACATCCCCAGCACGGCACGAAGCATTGGTCCGCAGCGGATCGACGGGACGTCGGGGTCGGAGCGGACCAGGCTACCAGAACCGACATCGACATTGGATCGATCGAATCAATATGGACCCTGCATGGGGTGTTTCGGCTCATGGACCCAGCGGGGGTTTTCAGGTCATAGCTCGGGTCTGTGGCGGCTGCTCAGAAGATCCGGGCACCCCAAGAACGCTCTCGGCAAAGCGCAGCTAAGCTGGCGGAGCGCATTCCGGGGCAGGGGAACTGACGGAAACGCCAGAAAAGATCCGAGCCTGGGAGGAGGATCGAAACCCAGAAAGCCGACGCCTCAACCGTTCTACTGCAGGCCCAGTGCTCCGTCCAGGGCCGTCTTCTTTCGCGCGCGCGGAGAGAGGCCCCCGAGGTCGAACGCGGCCACGAAACGCTCCTCTGAAAAGTTGTCCAAGACAGGCATGTCTGGAAACAGCCCGCCGACCGACCACCTACCAGACCACCCCAACCCAACCCGAAGACCCGAATTTCGGGTTGGGGGGGGGGGGGGGTTAAGGGTTCCACATGTGTTTTTTCCGATGTTTCCCGCCCCCCCCCCACTGGAAAATCGAGGGTAAATCTGAGCCTTCGGCTTGGGTCGGGGTGGTTTGGTGGGTGGTGACCGACCGACAGACGCCACCAGCACGGCGCACCTTGTTGGCGTCCAGGGCGCGCACCATGGCGTCCCCGGCCTGCGTCGCCACGCCCCGCCGCCCCAGCAGCAGCGCGGCCTTGGCCACCTGCCCAGGGCCAATGGGAGAGCTCGCCGCCGCCGCACGCCGTTCCGTCGGCGATGCTCACACCGTTCGTACTGCGCACAAAAAGGTTGAACAAAAAAAACTGGGGGGGCAATCAAAAAATTAGCTATGCCAAGCGCTGTAGCGCGCACATAGGAAACAGAAGGAAGGCGGGGCTAACCAGACCGCCAGGGACTTCCCCGCGACCGCCCTAGCGCTCCGCGTGCAGGGGCGGAATCCTGCGCACACCCTGTTGGCGTCAGGTCACGCCAGCCACGCCGCGCAAAAATGGGCTTCTGGGAGTCAACCACTTGGAAGGTCTTCGTCAGAACTAAGATACAAAGCCAGGATGAGGATACCTTCGTGGAGGGGGGAGACATCGAGGATCTCTGAGATCCGGCGGCTCTGAAGGATGTCTCGGGTGCCGCGGACATCTCAGAGCGTGTAGGAACGCTCTGACAGCGTTCCCGAACGCTCTGGAACGAATTTATCCTCGTCCTGGCCCCGCCCGAAGTAGGCCACACCGGAGAGGTCTTCGTCAGAACGACTCTGGGCTATTAGGCCGAAAACCCCGTCGAGCCGGATTGAGCGGGAGCGAGCCAGACTATACGGGATGATTCGGTATGAAGCCGCCTTCGGCCGCAGATATACAAGCGTCGATGTTAAATGCAACTTCCCAGGAGTTGCGTCCGAACCTGCATCGACCATCCTCAGAGATGCGTGTCAGCCCCAACGCATACTTTTCCACCGGAAGTCTTCAATGCGACGCAGGCGGTGTGATTGCAGTGGGGGCCGACACGGGCTGAGTGCTATCGGTGGAGCTGGACGGGGTAAACGCACGTTGTGCTGACACTCTTCTTCCGTCCAGCGAAGACCAGCGGCAAGGCTAACACACGTCCTCACCCTGCGATGAGGGTCAACCCGTCAAGGCGAAAAAACATATCAATCCCCAGATGAAGAGTAAATATCACAAGCGGTATACATATACATATACATATACATATACATGTACATATAACTATACATATACATATTCATTTACATATACATATACATATACATAGGCATAGACATAGACATGTACATATACATATACATATACATATACATGTACATACACGTATACGCATACATATACATGTAAGTATACATATACGTTTACGTATACGTATACGTATACATATACATATACATATGCATATACATATACATAGACATAGACATATACATGTACATATACATATACGTATACATATACATATACGTATACGTATATGTATACAAATACATATACACACGCATATACATATACATATACATATACATATACATGTACGTATACATATACGTTTACGTATACGTATACGTATACATATGCATATGCATATACATATAATATTCATATACATATACATATACATGTATATATATATAGAGAGAGAGAGAGAGATCCACGGCCTCGCGGGCCGTCATCCTGGGTCGCGGTCCCATGCATACGGCCATACAAAGCGTTGTTTCGTGAATGCCCCGCGCGGAACGTATCCGTGCGACCGCGTACCCGCGGGATGCGTCCCGGACTCGAAACCGTGAGGGCGAATTTAAGGATATCTTCGCCGGCCATGAAAAGCGGAAATCCCTAAACCCGACGAGTCTGGAGGCTGTAGCGGGCGCGGCGGCCGTCCTCGAGCGCCCCAGAACTCTCTTGCAGGAGCATTCTGGCACGCTCTGCAACAGTGGATCCCCGCCCCGCCTGGCCCTGCCCGACCTCACACCCTGAGACGAAGTCAGGAGGAGGACAAGCACGGAGGAGCACACATCTCGCGGCCAGGTGACACGTCCATACCCACGGCCTCGCGGGCTGGGCCCCGGGGCCGCGAACCTAGGGGTACGGGGCGTCGTTCCACGGCTGCCCCGAGCGGACATTTTCCATGCTGCCAACGCGTCCCGGCGTCCAGACCGCGAAGGCGTGGATGAGTTCGGCGCTCGTGGTAGGCAGGAATCCATGAAAGCCAGCGGGTGCCCGGCGGGTCTCGAGAGGGTAGCGGGCGCTGCGGCCGTCCCAGATATCTCCAGCACGCTCCCAGAGCGCTGCGGAACGCTCGTAGGTCAGTTCTTCTCTCATACTCGGACATTGGATGCTCTCCGCTTACCCCCTGCCTCCAAGGATGGGCAGAAGAGGCAAGGCTGGGGCACCCTCGGCATTATTATCATCCTTATGATGCGATTGGGTTTGCTCCACCGCATCCCCCGTGATCTCCGCCTCCTCTGCTGCTCTTAGGTCGGGCGTGTCCTCCTACACGCGGATTTTGGAAGCAAAATGGGAAGCAGTTTGACAAAAAGCAGAGATAGTCAAACAGAATCGAAACATCGTCCCCAGACTATTGTTTGAATAGTTTCCAAAAATTCCTCCTGTGGAGGGGCATGCCCGACTGCATGCTACTCCTCTCCCGCACTCCTCCTGCCAACGGTCGAGGACCTCTCCGCTCTCCGCCACCACAACCGCCTCGTCCGCTCCCTCGTCCTCGCCCCCCCTTCTCCTGACACCCCTTGGTCCTTCTGGCATGCCTTGCAGCCCCAGAGGATGGAGGGCACGTCCTCTTGCAAGACGGAGCTCCCGCCCGAACTGCGGGCCCCGTGGGGCGGTAGCCTTTCTTCAAGGGGGGCGCGTCGCGCAGTGAAGCAAATGCAGCGACTGTAGGGACCCCCTGGAAAAACGTACAGCATTCGGCCTGACCTATGGATCGATCAATAAGGAACCAAGCCCCTTTTTTGTTCCAGGTGAGTCCAGGAAGTCCGAAGGAATACCAGGGGGGCTCGCCGCCAAAAAGGTAGCGGAACGCGTGCAAACCAAAGGAACGACCGAGCCACTTTTGAAAAGTGAATGTTCCTTGTTCAAGCCGGACCCTGTACGCGCCAGGCCACGCATCTAGGCAACCACATGCGAACCCGACTCCTGCATGTCAGGTTTCCGAGACGTTGCCAGGGTTTCAGAGTTCGGTGGATGTCTACTGCAAAGTGAACTCCAGCAGATGCGTCCGATACCAATCCGTCGAGTGGACACGCAGGGGTAGGGTTCGCAAGTGGCCGGCGATTACGTACACGAATGTCCCCCCCCAGTTCGCGAGGCCGCCCTCATGCTGCGAATGCTCGCTGTAATGCGCCCTCTCGAAACCCGTGTGAACTAATGTGCGCGTGCGTCTTTGTGATGCTCCAGAAGATTGGGAAGGACCTTCTCCCCACAGAGCATCTTCGGGCAACCGGTGACCCAAGAAGCGCGCGTGGCACCGTGAGCGAATGCAGCGAGCTGGCGAAGCAGTTGGCTGGGCAAACACGAGTAGAGGCCTCCTAAATGGGGTCGGAGTACATGGGGTCGGAGGATCGCGCCACATCGCCGATTCGCCGATACATCGGCGATGCATCAGCGATACATCGCCAATGCACGGGCGATGCATCGTCGACGTCGGCGATGCATCGGCGACGTCGACGTCAAGTCAATCGGGCTCCACGCCGAGCCGCATCGCCGATGCATTGGCGATGCGGCGCGATCCTCCGACACCATCTACCCCGACCTCATCTACGGCAGGTTCGTGTCGTGCCGACCCCAGCGTTGGTTTTTGACACCGCAGGGATCGTTCAACCTTGAACGATCGGCCGCTGCCGCAACGTCCGATCGTTCAACATCGACCGATTCTGGGCAACCTTGAACGTCCGCGCTGGGGTCGCCGCTGGTCGACACGACGCAGACCTACCGTAGGAGGCCTGGAAAACAGGGGACCTTGACTGAGGACGGGAGAGGTGACTGCGGCATCGCTGATACGTCTTGGGCGTACTCGCCCCCTCCGCCGCCCCCCCCCCCCCCACGGCCCGCGTCCCCCAGAGTTCCCCAGGAGGTCCCCAGGAGGCCCTGGGGCCTCCCTGGTTGGGCTCCTCCTCCTGCGAGCGTGAAGCCAGGTCGAGCAACGCCCCGCACCCACGGCCCGCGTCCCCCAGAGTTCCCCAGGAGGTCCCAGGAGGCCCTGGGGCCTCCCTGGTTGGGCTCCTCCTCCTGCGAGCGTGGAGCCAGGTCGAGCAACACACATGCAACAACACCGACACCCACGGCAAGTCGGCGAGACCACGACGAAGATGGGGAGCAGCGGCAGCGGCTCCTCCTCCTCCTCCTCCTCCTCCTCCTGCTCCTCCTCCTCCTCCTCCTTATTCCGTTTCATTATGAATAATTTCTCCCTATCACACCCCGAGGAAATGCTTTTAGGGAGGGCCGGGCGTTTCGCCTGAGACTTCCTCACCAGTTAGCGTTTCGCCTGAGACTAAAAAAATGGGCTAGCGCTTCACGGATTGAGAGCGGGTGGCTTTCAACATGTGGCTCTCGCCTAAGCGCGGCGCACATTCGGCTTACAAAATTGCAAGAGTTTCACGGACTGGGGCGGGTGGCTTTCAAAATGTGACTCTCGCCTTAGCGCGGCGCACATTCGTTCCAACAAATTGCCAGAGCTTCACGGATTGAGGGCGGGTGGTCTTTAGACTGTGGCTCTCGCCTTACGGCGGCGCACATTCGTTCTAAATACGTGCAAGGGTTTCACGGATTGAGAGCGGCTCATGTTCAACATGTGCTCTCGCCTTAGCGCGGCGCACATTCGTTTTTCAAATCTACAAGAATTTCATGGAGTCCCATCATCAACGTGCCAGAAATATTGTTTTGAACGGTTCAGGATTACGCGGGTGCGACAGTCATGTTGAACGCTGCATTGGAGTCCCAAGAATGGCTCTCTGGTGCGATTCCGTATTGTCAAGGCGCAACATATCAGGTAGAACCGTGGCGTTGGAATCCCGAGAACAATGTTTTGGCATGCGTCAGGGTCTTCAAACGGTTGACTTCCAAAGAGGCAGTTTTTCGATGGAAATGAGCCGTTGTAGGGGGATACGGAGAGGGAGCTTGGAGGGAGAGGTTATTTCAACATCGCGAACGACTCTTGGGTCAGCAGTCGGCCTTGAGTGGGCAGGACACGCGAGAGGACACAAGACCCTTCCGCGGTCCACGTTGCCATAGGAGTCGGAGGCATGGGTCGCAAAACCCAGGCATGGGACGCAAAAACCTACTAATCCGGGCCGCCTGTACGCTGGTCCTCCTCCTCCTCCTCAACCACACATTCCGCACAACCGCACGTCTCCGCAGGCGGAGCCTAGCGTTCCGCTGGGGCCTTCCTTACCACTCACTATCCTGACCTAACGAATTGAACAGTAGAAGGTCAGAGGATCGGTGGCTTCAAAAGCGCAGTTCTTCCCTGAACGTCAAAAGTTGACAGCTGAAACATGGATACACCCTGCGAAATGCTAAAGAAATCATGGGTTAAGAAATTCATACTCTCGGAACTTGAATAAAAGCCCAACATGTCTATTCAAATCTTAGGATTTACATTGAAACGTTAAGAATAATCGAGACTCTGGCCGAAAACTTAAGTTTTCTTAAGCATCGCCTAAGGTGTAGAAGGCCATTTGCTAGCATGCTGACACTCACTTAGCGCCGCGCGCGTTCGTGTTGCACTATTTCGCAAGAGCTGAAGAGACGGAGGGCAGGTGGCTGCCAACATGCTGCGGTACAGCCGTGCACATTCGGGTCCGAATCTTCCAACACTTCCAAGAAGGGCCAATGGCTTCCAAAACGATGTTCCTTCCGTAGCGCCGCGCATCTTCGTGCTGAAAGTTCCAAATCGCTTCCGAATGCGGCGCTCACTTGAGATGTTGTTGAAAGTGAGTAGCCCGAACTCTCAAATTGTGCAGACGGGTTCACTGATGGAAGCCAGCTCCTTTTCAAAGAAGGGCGCTCGCGTTTGGCTTCTGTACGCGTTGTGAGCTACGGCCAGGACTTTGAATGTGTGCAACGCTTGCACGGATGCAGGGCTGATCGTTCTCAGAACGAGGCTGTCGTTTGACAAGTCCTTGAACGGCATTATCCAGCCACGTTGCTCTTGTTTTTGCTAGAACGGTGGAGGGTGCATCCTAGACAGAACGGGGTCTCGTCATGCAAGGGAGTCGCTTGCCGCAGTTGCAAAAGTATATTTAACACTCAGAGGGGTGCTAAGTGCTGAGAGTATTATCCAGCCACTTTGCCTTTGCTTTTGCTAGAACGGTGGAGGGTGTATCCTAGACAGAACGGGGTCTCGTCAGGCAAGGGAGTCGCTTGCCGCAGTGGGAAATAATATATGTAACACTCAGAGGGGGGGACTTGGGACGGGAGGGTGTGTTGCAGCATCGTTAACACGTCCTGGAATTACTCCGGTCCTCTTCTTCTTTGAATCCTCCTCTTCACCCTCCTCCCCTCCATTGTTCCCTCCTCTAACACGAAGCCAAGACGAGGACAAATTCGGATAAGGATCTATCGAGGGAGCGTTTCTGAAATCTGGCGGCTCTGGAGGATGTCGCGGGCGCCGCGGCCTTACCAGAGCGTTCCAGAACGCTATGGAACGGATTATCCTCGTCCTAGCCCCGTCCGACGCCTAGACACGATCTTTCTGCTGCATCTCTCGAGCTGGATCGACCTGTGATGGACCCCCACGGCCCGAAACCAGGCGAGCACGACCAGTGCCACTGGCGAAAGCACCTCCACGCCCAGATCCCAGGTCGTCCCACCGTCGCTGCCGTGCCGTCGTCGGTCAGTGGGCCCTGCTCTCTGCGGCCGCGCGCCCGCTCCAACGCTCGGAGGCAGAGAGAAGCGGCCCGCCTCCGCCGTCGCGAAGAGGTCCCCCTTCAGGGGCCGCGACGCCAGCGACCTCGGCGCGTTCGCGGGGGGGGGGGGCAGCTGCTACGGCGACCGGCGGCGGACAGACGACAACGACGACGACGGCGACGACAACGACAACGAGCGACGGGCGACAACGTCGACAACGACGACGAGGACGACGACGGCGACGGCGACGACGACGACGACGGCGCGACGGCGGCGGGCGACGGCGACAGCGACGACGGAGGACAGACGGTCGGACGGACGGGCGGGCGGACGGGCAGACGGCAACGGCGGCACTGCTGCTCCCACTCCTCCTCCCCCTCCTCGTCGTCGTGCCCCATCCTGCCTCCCCGCGGGAGGAGAGTGGAGGGTGGAGAGGAGGGGGGGTACCGAAAGGGGAGGGTGGAGGGGAGGGGAGGGTGGAGAGGGGAGGGTGGAGAGGAGGGGAGGGTGGAGAGGAGGGGGGGTACCGAAAGGAGGGTTTGGCAAGGGGGGCATACGGGGGACCATGGCCTGGCGTCGATGTCACAGGTCGCCGAGAGATCCGCGATGGGGGCACCCCGGCCCCCGATCGGCGGGGAGCGGGCGATGTGGGGGGTCGATGCCCCCCCCCCGCCTCCCCTCCCCCCTATGAGCCAGTCTATCCCCGCTGACGCCGCTGGAGAGGAGAGAGAGAGAGAGAGCAACAACAAAAAGAGAGAGAGAGAGAGATAGGACGCACAGAGACAGGCTAATACTACACGCTCTCCTTGGAGTCACGCGTCCGACCCGAACACGTAGTATGCCCATCTTGTAGCGTATGCACATACTTATAATTGTGAAGATGTATATATATGTATATATATGTGTATTGCGTCCCGAGCGGCGTGGCCAGAAAGCGCCCGCCACGACGCACAGGTTGGAAGATGTCTCGAAGCGCGCGTCGCCCCATGGGGTGCGACGCACACCGAGTGTTGATATGTTCGGTAATCCCCAAACGTGGTGGTGGCAACATCCGGCGGTGAGCCTCGGGCGAATTGGTGTCGCCACCTGGCTTGGGGACTCGCGTGGTCTTTCGAGGACCTCCCGCACGCTGGCGGGTCCAGGGTTCATAAAACCTGGCGGTGACTGTTTGGGGATCCCAGGTCACCACCTGATCTCTCGTCACCTGGTTTGGGGGCTCCCAATATGTTAGGGTGAGGAAGAGAGGAGGCCATCCAAAAGATGGTGCGAGAAGGTGCCACATCCTTGCGTTGCTGCCCCGCGCCGGCCGGTGCGGCTTGGCACCAGGGGGGGGGCCGCGGCTAAGTGTCCTGCCCGGGCCTAGTTACCTCCTGGGTGCCGTGGACTGCCCCCCCCCCGAAATAGAGAGAGAGAGAGAGAGTGAAGGAGAGAGGAGGAGGAGGAGGAGGAGGAGGAGGAGGAGGAGGAGGAGGAGAAGGAGGAGGAGGGGGAGGAGGAGGAGGAGGAGGAGGAAGGGGAGGTGGAGGAGGTGGAGGAGGAGGAGGAGAAGGAGGAGGAGGAGGAGGAGAGGAGGAGGAGGAGGAGGAGAAAGGAGAGCAGCGACCGGAGACGATCGAGACAGGAGGAGCGAGGGGGGCGTTCCTCCTGGGGCCAGGGCGGCGACCATCCTCGAGGAGGGCGAGGGCGAAGGCGAGGGCTTCCTGACCCCGCGGGCCGCTCCTGGAGCGCCTGCCCGGGCTCCGCTGTCCCGGGGCCCCCAGCCACCATTGCCCGCCGGCCTTGGGCTCCCCGGCTCCTGGGCTCCTGGCCCTCGCGCCGAGTCATCGCACACCACCTGCTGCTGCTGACGCGCTCCTGCTCCTCCTCCTCCTCAACCACCTCCTTCTCCATCACCTGATGCTGGTGCTTCTGATCCCACTTGCTGCAAACACCATAACCATTATCGTCGTCCTAATACGCTCCCTACTATACGTATATATATATATATATATATAGAGATGTCCATCTCTGCCTCGACTGACAGTGTCGAATTGTCGCTCCTCCTCCTCCTCCTCCTCCTCCTCCTCCTCATCCTCCTTCTCCTCCTCCTCCAACTCCTCCTCCTCCTCCTCCTCCTCCTCCTCCTCCTCCTCCTCCTCCTCCGCCTCCTCCTTCCTCCTCCTCCTCCTCCTCTTCCTCAACCTCCGCCTCATCCTCCTTCTTCTCCTCCGCCCCCTCATGATCCTCATCGCAAGCGTCATCCTCATCCTGAAAAACATCCTCCTTCTCCTCCTCCTCCTCCTCCTCCTCCTCCTCCTCCTCCTTCTCCTCCTCCTCCTCCTCCTCCTCCTCCTCCTCCTCCCATTCCTTCCCATTTCCTCCTCCCTCGCCGCTCCCGCCTCCTCCCGGTGCAGGGCCGTTGTACGGAGGAGGGATCGGTGCCGGCTGCACCCATGCCTCTTGAGATGGGTGGCCACCGGGGTCGGGCGTGTGCGGACGCCCAAAGCGAGCGTCAGCAACAGAACCAAAGGCAGCCTCGCTTGGAGGCCGCCCCCGGTGGCCCCCTTGAAGAGACGAGCCACGCCAGCGCGGAGGGAGGGAGGGGAAAGGGGGTCCTCCTCCTCCTCGTCCTCCTCCTCGTCCTCCTCGTCCTCCTCCTCCTCGTCCTCCTCCTCGTCCTCCTCCTCCTCCTCGTTGGGTGGCCCTGCCACACCCTCCTCGTCCTCCTCCTCCCCCGCTCCGCAGGGAGGAAAGAGGGGAGGGAGGGAGAGGGGGCGCCCTGCCCCTGCTCCCCCCTCCTCGTACTCCTCCCCCCCCCCCTCCCCCCCCCCCTCGCCACCTCGGCGGAGGCCTACTAAGACAGCGGCGGCGCTTCAGAGTCGATACCCAGACTCCTCCAAGGGGTCCACCCTGATCCGTTTTGGGGGGGCGGGGGGAGGGGGAGGGCAGGGGAGGGGGTGAAGGGCAGGGGGAGGGGGGAGGGGGGAGGGGAGGAGTGGGGGGAGACGGGAGGGTGGCGAGCACAGGAGGGTAGTGGGAGGGGGGAAGACTTCTCAGAAGGAGGGCGCTTGAAGGCGCCAGCCCTGCATATACAGACAATTCCAGTCTCTTCCAAGAAGCAGGGGCGCTTCTGAGAAACCTTCCCCCCTCCCCCTGCCCCCCTCTGCGCGTGACTGAAAATTAGCGTGAGACCGGCGGGAGGGAACAAACATCGAGCTGGAATCGGCGATGCGTCGCCGATAGATCGGCGATAAGGCCCCGATAGCGAACCCGCGCGTTCCTTGGCGCGGTGGGGCTATCGGGTCCTCATCGGCGATGAATGGGCAATTAGGGGGTCGATACTTTTCTCCCTGAGCTTGTCGCCCCCTCACATTGCCCCTGAGACACCTGAACCTCCACCCGACGGCGCTGGGCCCGGCACAGTGCCACCGCCGACGGCGCCGCTGAATACGGCACCCCGACGAGCCCCGCGCAAGTGACCGGGTGCACGAAGCTGTACAGCCTGGCAAGGAAGGAGAGAAACCTCCTCCTCCTCCTCCTCCTCCTCCTTCTCCTCCTCCTCCATTGCTTTCCCTTCTATACAACTTCTCCCTGTCGCCTCCCGAGGCCAGTTTTTAGGGCGGGCCGGGCGTTTTGCCTGAGACTTCCTCACCATTGACTCTGCAACACAAGAATTGGCAACAGCTTCACGGATGGAGGGAAAAATTGCAAGAGCTTCACGGATCGAGGGCGGGTCGTTTTCAAAATGCGGCTCTCGCCTTGGCGCGGCGCACATCCGTTGCAAAAAACAATACTTTCACGGATTGGCGGCGAGTGGTTTTCAAAATGTGGCACTCGCCTGAGCGCCGTGCACATTCGTTGTAAATTACCCTGGCGACGTACCCAACCCTTGCGCAATGCGGGGCTTCAGTACATCAGGATTGCTACAACGGGAGCGATGACGCAACATGGACGCATGTGCTTTTGCGAGCAGCAATCGGAAGGCTCGCAGGCCCCCGATCAAGATATAAGGGCGTCGTAGTGGTTGCTAACGCAGCCCCCCCCCCCCCAGGTACGGCGAGGTCACGCTCAGGTCCCCGCGGTGCCTCACTCCGCTGGATCCACTAGCAGCCCTCGAAAGTGGCGACAGTGTCGCAGATCGCAGGCCCCCAGAGACGGCGAGGTCTCGCTCAGATCCCCGCGGTGCCTCACTCCGCAGGACCCACCAGCAGCCCTCGAAAGTGGCGACTGTGTCGCAGATCGCAGCCCCACAAGGACGGCGAGGGTTAGCTCAGATCCCCGCGGTGCCTCACTCCGCAGGACCCACCAGCAGCCCTCGAAAGTGGCGACAGTGTCGCAGATCGCAGCCCCCCAGGGACGGCCTCAGATCCCCGCGGTGCCTCTCTCCGCAGGACCCACCAGCAGCCCTCGAAAGTGGCGACAGGTTCGCAGATCGCAGCCCCCCAGGGACGGCGAGGTCTCGCACAGATCCCCGCGGTGCCTCAGTCTGCAGGACCCACCAGCAACTCTCGAAAATTGCGAAAGTGGCGCAGATCGCAGCCCCACAAGGACGGCGAGGGTTAGCTCAGATCCCCGCAGTGCCTCACTCCGCTGGGCCCACCAGTAGCCCTCGAAAGTGGCGACAGTGTCGCAGAGCGCAGCCCCCCAGGGACGGCGAGGTCTACCTCAAATCCCCGCGGTGTCCCACTCCGCAGGACCCACTAGCAGCCCTCGAAAGTGGCGACAGTGTCGCAGATCGCAGCCCCCCAAGGACGGCGAGGTCTCGCTCAGATCCCCGCGGTGCCTCAGTCCGCAGAACCCACCAGCAGCCCTCGAAAGTGGCGACGGTGTCGCAGATCGCAGCCCCCCAAGGACGGCGAGGTCGACCTCAGATCCCCGCGGTGCCTCACTCCGCAGGACCCACCAGCAGCCCTCGAAAGTGGCGACAGTTGTGCAGATCACAGCCCCCAAAGGACGGCGAGGTCTACCTCTGATCCCCGCGGTGCCTCACTCCGCAGGACCCACCAGCAGCCCTCGAAAGTGGCGACAGTTTCGCAGATCGCAGCCCCCAAAGGACGGCGAGGTCTCGCTCAGATCCCCGCGGTGCCTCACTCCGCTGGAACCACCAGCAGCCCTCGAAAGTGGCGACAGTGTCGCACATCGCAGCCTCCCAGGGACGGCGAGGTCTACCTCAGATCCCCGCGGTGTCCCACTCCGCAGGACCCACTAGCAGCCCTCAAAAGTGGCGACTGTGTCGCAGATCGCAGCCCCCCAGAGACGGCGAGGTCTACCTCAGATCCCCGCGGTGCCTCACTCCGCAGGACCCACCAGCAGCCCTCGAAAGTGGCGACGGTGTCGCAGATCGCAGCCCCCCAAGGACGGCGAGGTCTACCTCAGATCCTCGCGGTGCCTCACTCCGCTGAACCCACCAGCAGCCCTCGAAAGTGGCGACGGTGGCGCAGATCGCAGGCCCCCAAAGAACGGCGGGGTCTACCTCAGATCCCCGCGGTGCCGCACCCCGCTGGACCCACCAGCAGCCCTCGAAAGTGGCGACGGTGTCGCAGATCGCAGCCCCCCAAGAACGGCGAGGTCGACCACAGATCCCCGCGGTGCCTCACTCCGCAGGACCACCAGCAGCCCTCGAAGGTGGCGACTGTGTCGCAGATCGCAGCCCCCCAAGGACGGCGAGGTCTCGCTCAGATCCCCGCGGTGCCTCAGTCCGCAGAACCCACCAGCAGCCCTCGAAAGTGGCGACAGTGTCGCAGATCGCAGTTCCCCAGGGACGGCGAGGTCTACCTCAGATCCCCGCGGCGCCTCACTCCGCAGGACCCACCAGCAGCCCTCGAAAGTGGCGACGGTGTCGCAGATCGCAGCCTCCCAGGGACGGCGAGGTATACCTCAGATCCCCGCGGTGCCTCACTCCGCAGGACCCACCAGCAGCCCTCGAAAGTGGCGACAGTGTCGCAGATCGCAGCCCCCAGGGATGGCGAAGCCCGCACAAAGCAGGAGGAGACAAGAGGGGAGCGAGAGACGGGAGGCGGGAGAAGATGGAGGAGGAGAAGTGGAGACCGCAGTGCTCTATTCAAAACGAATACCCAACCAAGGAGGGTTGGGGTTGGGAACCAATCAAGACTTTCGCGGAGTGGCGGCGAGTGGTTTCAACATGTGGCTCTCGCCTGAGCGCCGCGCACACTCGTTGCAAACAAAATACATAGCTTCACGGATTGAGGGCGGTTCCTTTCAAAATGTGGCTCCCGCCCAAGCGCCGCGCACATTCGTTTACATTATTTGCAAGACTTTCACGGGTTCCCATCATCAACGTACTTGGACTGGTGTGTTGGAAGGATTCAGGAGGATGCCGGTGCAACAGTTACTTGATTATTTGCGTTGAAGTCATCGGAGTGGCGTCCTGACACGATTCAGGATCGCCAAGACGCAACAGTCAAGTTGATCCGTGGAGTTGGAATCCCGAAAACAATGTTTTGGCATGATTCCGGGTCTTCAAACGGATGTCTTCCAACGAGGCCGTTCCCTCAATGGAAATAAACCGTTGTAGGGGCCTATGAAGAGAAAGCTTGGAGGGAAGGTTTACTCCAACATCGTTGATGACTCTTGGGTTTATACACTGGTCCTCCTCCTCCTCCTCCTTTTCCTCCTCCTCCTCCTCCTCCTCCTCCTCCTCCTCCTCCTCCTCTTCCTCCTCCTCATCATCCTCCTCCTCAACCTCAACCCCAACCTCCTCCTCCTCCTCCTCCTCCTCCTGCTCCTCTCCTCCTCGTCCTCCTCCTCCTCCTCTCCTCCTCCTCCTCCTCTCCTCCTCCTCCTCCTCCTCCTCCTCCTCCTCCTCCCTCCTCATCATCCTCCTCCTCAACCTCAACCCAAACCTCCTCTCCTCCTCCTCCTCCTCCTCCTCCTCCTCCTCCTCCTCTCCTCCTCCTCTTAAGCCTCCTGCTCCTCCTCCTCCCTCCTCCAACTCCTCCTCCTCCTCCTCCTCCTCCTCCTCCTCCTCCTCCTCCTCCTCCTCCTCCTCCCCCTCGTCCCCCTCCTCCGCCACGTTATTGTCGCATGCGGCGGCGGCAGCTGTAGGCACACGCAGCAGCAGCAGCAGCAGCAGCAGCAGCAGCAGCAGCAGCAGCAGCAGCAGCAGCAGCTGTTTGCATACGCAGCTCCGCTCGACAAGGCGGCTGCACCGCGCGCTCGGATCGCCGAGCGGGAGAGGCGCGGCAGGCCCGAGGACTGCAGAAACAAGCTCGGTCCATCGTGACCGAAAAAGATGGTCCTCCTACGACTCCTGGCGGACAAATGGCATGGAGAGAAGGGAGGACAGAGAAGGCGGACGAAAAGTGAATGGGCGGGGCAGTAGGAGAGGGGGCTGGTGAGCCGTGGGTCCAGGCAGGATCGGTGCATGTGCACACTCATCGCCACCCAAATGAGCAGGAAACGCCTGCCGAGCCAAGCCAACCTCCCCCCTCTCCCCCCCGCCACCCCCACCCACCGCGCCATTCCCGGCTCAGGAAACCGACGACTCGGGGTTGTCGTGGATGGGAGACACGGAGGTGGAGGACAACGAGGAGCAGGAGGAACCATCCAACGGCTTTTCGGTCATTCTGCTGCCCCTCGGGTTCGCATTGACGGTGGTTTCGATTCGGCGCCTCAGCGCGTGTCACGCTCCAGCTCTTAATGTGGGCGGGGAGTTTCAGAATTGCGCGGTCGCGGTAGCGTGCGCGTTCTTTCCGATTTGCGCTTTCGGCTCGGCGCCAGCCTCGCCCCTGCCACTCTGCAGCCCTGCATCCGCGTGTTGCGATTGCTACTCTTCTGTATCCCCCTGGCGGTGGCTGCGCGGTTGACCCGCCCGCCATGCACAAATACTTTGCGCAGCTCGTGCGCCGAATTCGTGGGCGGCGTGCGCGTTGCTCGCTTGCGTATGCGGAAAATTGTCTGCGGCGGGCGGCCGCCGCATATTGTATGTTTCGCGCGCGCGTTAAGTTCTTGACGCTTCGTGTAACCCGACCAGTAGGACGACGTCTCCATGCATAGGTCCTTCGCTCATGCCCGATTACTCCCAGGAGCTCATGTGAGTGAGGCGTTCCTCGGTTCCCCCCTCTTCTGTCCGCGCGTGCTCTCGCGCCCGCCGCCTTTCCTCGCTCCTTCGCCTCCTCGTCGTGATGGACGGTGCGGCCTCACTGGCCCTCCGTGCTGCCGCAGCGCAGCGTGACCCACGCCAGTACGCGCTGGTCAGTACGGTTCGAACTGGCGCCACTGTGCGACTCCTCCTCCGTCTGTTTCCTTCCGATGCCTGCGTCCCCGCTCCTGGGTCGCCCGCATCTTAATGGGGGGCATTTCGTCCCTGGCACGTGCACTTGTTGCGTCGGCCTATGCGCCGTCGTAGCCGATTATCTCGCCCTGTGCCCCAGCCGAGACCGTCCCGCTTCCTGGATCTGTCCTTGGAGCCGTCAATCAAAAAGTAACCCGACCAGTCGCTGGCGCTCTCGCCTGCGGTTGCGAAAAAAGTAACCCGACCAG